AGGCACTCTGATGGGCTCTGCTGGACAGGTACGCTGATGGGCTCTGTGGACAGGTACACTGATGGGCTGTACTGACAGGCTGCATAACAGATACACTGATGCACTGTGCTAGCAGGTATGTGATGGGCTGTGCTTGCAGGTATGTGATGGGCTGTACTGACAAATACACTGATGGGTTGCATGACAGGTACACCGATGGGTTGTGCTGACAGGTACACTGACAGACTGGCAACAGGTACGCTGATGGCCTGGTGACAGGTACCAGGAATGCTGATGGACTAGCGACAGGTACGCTGATGGGCTGGCGACCGGTACGCTGATGGGCTAGCGACAGGTACGCTGATGGACTGACGACAGGTACCAGGAATGCTGATGGGCTGGTGACAGGTAGGTTGATGGGCAGCTGGTGACAGGTACACTGATGGGTAGCTGGTGACAGGTACACTGTGATGGGCAGCTGGTGACAGGTACACTGTGATGGGCAGCTGGTGACAGGTACACTGATGGTTAGCTGGTGACAGGTACACTGTGATGGTTCAGCTGGTGATAGGCAATCTGGGCAGTGTGGAGGCAATCTGTAGTGTGGTGCACAATACTGATAGCTGTAACTCACTGTTCCCCTTCTCCTGTGTGAGGAGAAGAAGTGGTAACAGCAAGTTACCGCTATTTGTTTACAGTTGTGATCGGCTGTGATAGGACACAGCCGATCGCAGGGTAAGCAGCCAATTTTATTGGCTGTTACCCCTCATCATGGATGCGCTGTGTCCATGGGACACAGCCAACGAGAGACCGGCGCGTTGCGTGCCGCTGGGGGCACGCTCTCTGGGGGCGTGTCCAGGAGGACGCCATATGGCGTCCACCCGGAGGGACGAAGGGTTTTTGAGGCTGCCATTCGGCTATTGGCTGGGCGGGAACCCGTTAATCACCACTGTTTTTCTTTTTTAATTTTTGTGCTATATTAATGAAAAACGACTGAAATGTTTGAAGAAACACGCGTTTTTCTTCATTTCTGTTATAAAGTTTTGCAAATAAATAATCTTTCTTCATAAATTTAGGCCGAAATGTATTCTGCTACATTTCTTTGATAAAAAATAACCCAAATAATACACATACATATTATATAAAATATATATTATTTAGTCTGTGTAAAAGTTATGAGTCTAAAAACTATGGTATATATAATATCTGAAAATTTGTCAATCCTGAGGTACTATGTATCTCATTTCTTGAGGCCGAAAATGCCAGGATAGTACAAATACCACCCAAATTACCCCTTTTTTGAAAAGTAGAAAGTCCAAGGTATTTAGTGAGAAGTATGTCTAGTTTTTTTAAAGTTGTCATTGTTTTTGTCACAGTTTTTTTAAAAATGACATTAAATCTTGTTTTTTTTGCATACTGTCACCTGTGCAGTACAGCGTCACCATATGACTGGTAACAGAATGTAAAAATACATATATATATTTAGTTTTTTAAACTTTTTAACTTTTTTTAGTGACACTGTACTACTCTGGGGGAGTGATCAGGGATTTTGTTTTAACAGTGTGATTGCTTATAGCAGTGATGATCACTTCTATAAGCAATCCTTATGACTGTCATGAATGACTGTCAATAATGGCAGCTTGCTTGCTATTAGCTTTCACATGGTACAAGGTTGCTGTGAATCGCCTTGTACCATGTTATAGCTTTGGGCCAATCACAGCATAACTATATTAGGCAAGCTGTTTATGAATGAAATCAGGGTACCGAACACTGACAGACACAGTGGTCATGGGATTGTGCTGCTGCGCACCCCAGGGGGCACACTATTGTACATGCCTAAAGTGATGTACAGGAATGTCGCTATGCCTGTACATGCAGCCATCCTGCAGTAAATGTACTGTGGGAAGGATTAGGGTTGCTACCTCATCCTTTTAAAACTGAACACATATTAACCACTTGCCTACCGGGCACTCTCACCCCCTTCCTGCCCAGGTCAATTTTCAGCTTTCAGCGCTGTCACACTTTGAATGACAATTGCGCATTCATGCAACACTGTACCCATATGAAATTTTTTCTTAGTTTCTGTTATAAAATGTTGTAAATGAGTAATTTTTATCCTTCACTGATGTGCGCTAATGAGGCTGCAGTGATAGGCACTGATAGGCGACACTGATGAGGAGGCACTGGTAGGTGGCACTGAAGGGCATTGACAAGCAGCACTGGTGGGCATTCACAGACATCACAGATGGGCACTTAAAGGCAGTACTCATATATGGCACTGATAAGCGGCACTGAATGGCACTGATAGGCGGCACTGACTGGCACTCATAGGTGGCACTGATTGGCACCACTCATAGGCGGCACTGACTGGCACTCATAGGTGGCACTGACTAGCACTGATAGTTGGCACTGAAAGGCAGCTCAGATGGGCACCGATATGTGGCATTGATGTGCACTGGTAGGCATTGATATGTGGCATTGATGGACACTGACAGGTGGCATTGATGGACACTGACAGGTGGCACTGATGGGGCTACACTGATCATCAGTGTAGATATCCCCTCTGAGAAATGCCGATTACCGGCTCTCCTTTCCTCACGAGCTGTCAGCATGACTATACAAACTTTGTCACCATAGACTATACAATGGTGACACAGTACAGGATTGATACATATATATGTTTTGTGTGTTTTGAGACATCTGTGCTTCTGACAGGAGAGATCACCAAAGTATTGGACAATTTCATCCTCAGCAGACACAAGGAATTTCCCTTGTGTCAGGAACCAGCAGCAGGGATAGTCAGATCTGCATGGCTACACTCAGGAAACTGAGACCAGACTGTGTATATTTTAGTTGAAATTTATTTGTAATTAAACAAAATCCATCCAGACACCAGCACATGGCAAGCATGGAAATATAAGTGAACCAAAAACCCAGTGACAGAATACCTAATAGAATAGATAGACTAATAACTAACAAACAGAAAGCTTAACTAAAACGTATTATATAAAATATATACAAAATTGGTGACACAGAGAGGCACTGCACTTTCCTCACGCGTGAGGAAAGTGCTGCCGAGAACCGGCAGTTGTCAGAGCAGGGATCGGCACCGATCATCAGGGCACTGATGATCAGTGCCCTGATGATCGGTGCCCAGCAGTGCCACCCACCAGTTCCGCCCACCTGTGCCCAGCAGTGCACACACCTGTGCCCAGCAGTGCCACCTACCTGTGCCCAGAAGTGCCACCTACCTGTGCCCAGAAGTGCCAACTACCTGTGCCCAGCAGTGCCACCCACCAGTGCCCATCAATGCAGTGCTGCCAGTCAGTGCCACCAGTCAGTGCCCAGCGGTAATGCCAGTCAGTGCCACCTATCAGTGCTGTCTATCAGTGCCGCCTATCCGTGACACCTCATTAGTACTGCCTATCAGTGCCACCTATCCGTGCCACCTCATTAGTGCTGCCTATCAGTGCCCTTCAGTGCTGCCTATCAGTGCCCATTAGTGCCAGCCATCAGTGCTGCCTCATCAACGCACATCAGTGAAGGAGAAAAATTACCTGTTTGAAAAATTTTATAATAGAAACAAAGAAAAAATTTTTTTTCAAATTTTTTGAAATTTTTTTGTTTATAGCGCAAAAAGTAAAGCGCCCAGCAGCAATTAAATACCACCAAAAGAAAGCTCTATTTGTGAAAAAAAAAATGATAAAAATTTCATATGGGTACAATCTTGCATGACTGCGCAATTGTCAATCAAAGTGCAACAGCGCTAAAAGCTGAAAATTGGCCTGGTAAAGAAGGGGGTATAAGTGCCCGGTAGGCAAGTGGTTAAAGGACAAACAAGGCTTTTTTTGTGAATATTGTCTTCCAACAAATTTTTTTTCGCAATCCTTAAACAATTCAACGTAACAAAATTCACTTTTTCTTTTTTTCAGCAGTGTTAGTTTAAAAATAGATAGTGTTACTGCACATAAAAAGTGTACATTTTATTTTGTAATTTGTCCTGTTTAAAATGACACTAGAATTATGATTCTGGTACAGAGCATTTCAAAGTTATTTACAAATGAAATATAGTGGGTTTTTTCAATTTTGTGCTTTTTTAAATGTGAAATTTGTGAATGTATATGTTAATAATGTAAAAATATTAACGAACAAAACAAACAAAAACAAACAAACAAATTTAAATATTACTAGTTAATGAAATAGAAATAAACCAAAAAAATCAGCAGGAAAATAATAATTGAATGGAGAAGGAGAATAATGAGTTAATTAGGGCTGATTAGAATAAACTAAGGGTTAATAAAGGGTTAAACAGAGGAACATTTAAATTAAAAAAAAAACTTTTTTTACTTGACAGGTTGCTTTAACTGACTTCATCTGCAGATGTCAATTCATCCCTTTGATCTGTAGATGAATAAACAGAAAGATACAAAATTAACCACTAGCCTACTGGGCACTTATACCCCCTTCCTGCCCAGGACAATTTCCAGCTTTCAGCGCTGTCACATTTTGAATTGCACAGTCATGCAACACTGTACCCATATGAAATTTTTATCATTTTTTTGAGACAGATAGAGCTTTCTTTTGGTGGTATTTAATCACCTCTGGGATTTTTCTTTTTTCTTAAACAAACCAAAAACCACTGAAAATTTTGAAAAAGAAAAGTTTTTTCTTAGTTTTTGTTATACAATTTTGTAAATAAGTGATTTTTCTCCTTCACTGATGTGTGCTAATGAGGCTGCAGTGATGGCCACTGATAGGCTGCACTGATGGACACTGATAGGTGGCACTGATGAGGAGGCACTGGTAGGTTGCACTGATGGGCATTGACAGGCATCACTAATGGACACTGAAAGGCAGCACTGATACATGACACTGATAGTCGGCACTGACTGGCACTGATAGTCGGCACTGATTGGAACAGTTAGGCGGCACTGACTGGCACTGATAGGCGGCACTGACTGGCACTGATGCGCACTGATAGGTGACACTGACTGGCACTGATTGGCAGCACTGATAGGTGGCACTGATTGGCATTGATAGGTGGCACTGACTGGCACTGATGGGTGACATTGAAAGGCAGCTCAGATGGGCACTGATATGTGGCATTGATGTGCACTGGTATGCACTGATATGTGGCATTGATGTGGCACTGATGGGCACTGGCACGTGGCACTGATGGGCACTGGCACGTGGCACTGATGAGCACTGACAGGTGGCACTTCTGGGGCCACACTGATCATCAGGGCACACTGATCATCAGTGCCCAGATGATCAGTGTACATGTCCCCTCCGCGGAAAGCCAATTACCGGCTCTCCTCTCCTCTCAAGCTGTCAGCGTGACAGCTCGAGAGGAGAGAAATGCCGATAACCGGCATTTCCATGTTTACATACATGTGATCAGCTGTGAATGGACACAGCTGATCACATGACAGAGCCGACATCTTTGGCCCTTTCCGTGATCCGTTGTGTCCGAGGGACACAGCGCACCGGCGATCGCCGCGCTGCGCGCTCTGAGCCGCGCATGCGCAGTGAGAATGGTAGGACGTTATATGATGTCCTATCAGAACGAGAGAACCACCTTGCGCCCGTCATTGTACTATAGGGCGGGCAGAAGGTGGTTAAACATTGTTTCTTTGTATGTTTCTGTATTCAGGGTTGAGCAATGTTGTGGATAAACTTTGCCAGACTGCTATATTTATTTGCTGTTTGCTTGACTGTCAGTCACAGCTGTCTTCTCCTCCTCCCCCCATACAGTGAAGTGCTGCGCTGTGGAGGGGACAGGAGCTGCTGGCTCAGGCTCTCAGCATATCACTGAGGATCCGCAGAAGTACAGCCACAAAGCTTTGGCTGTACTTCTCCTTTAACCTCTTCCATACCGGGCACTTTTACCCCTTCCTGCCCAGGCCACTTTTCAGGTTTCAGCGCTCTCACACTTTGAATGACAATTGCACGGTCATGCAACATTGTACCCAAACTAAAATTTTATCATTTTCTTCACACAACTGGAGCTGTATTTTGGTGGTATTTAATCACCGCCGGGGCTTTTATATTTTGCTAAATTAACAAAAAAAGACCGAAAATTTTGAAAAAAAAACACATTTCTCTTTGTTTCTGTTATAAAAGTTTGCAAATAAATAATTGTTCTTCATAAATTTAGGCCGAGATGTATTCTACTACATGTCTTTGGTGAAATTAAATTAGGATGTATTTTTTAGTTTGTAGGAAAGTTATAGAGTTCACAAACTATGGTATATATCTGAATATTGATCAATCCTGAAGTACTGACAGCCAATCTAATTTCTTGAGGTCCAAGAATGTCAGAACAGTACAGATATCCCCCAAATTACCCCTTTTTGCAAAGTAGACAGTCCGACGTACTTCATAAGAGGCATGGCGAGTTTTTTGAAGTTGTATTTTTTTTGCCATAATTTTTCGGAAAATGAAAAAATTAAAAAAATTATTTTCACAATTTTTTTTTTACATATTGTCACCAGTGCAGTACAGCATCATCATATAACTGGCATGGCAGTGATCAGGGACACTGACTGGTGACAGTATGAAAAAAAAATATATGTTTTTTTTTTTTTTTTATTATTATTTATTTTTAATTTTTTATTACATTTTTTAAATTTTTAAAGATTTTTTTTTTCATATTTCACTATGTCCAAAGTAGTACAATGTTACCATAGTAACATTGTGCTACTTTGGGGAAATGATCAGTAGTTTTTTTTTTTTTTTTACACAATTTGCTTATAGCAAAGAATTACTTTGCTATAAGCAAGCATTTACCTGAATGACATCAATTCGTTCAGGGTTTTTTTTTTTTTCATTTTTTTTTTTGTGTTTAGCTGTGATTTGGCCACAGCTAATCACATGACATGTGCATGTGATCGCTGTGACCATTCACAGCTAGACACTAGTATACAATGGATGGCATGAATGAAGCCATCCATTGTATACAACGCTCATGTGACCTGCTGTGATTGGTCACAGCAGGTCACATGGTACCGGCAACAGGGGCCGGTACTCAGATCTGTCATCGGCCGTGTCCGAGGTACACGGCTGGTGACAGATCGCGCCGCTACGCTGCTCTGCAAGCGTGAAGACTGTGCATGATCAGTCATATTTTCAATATCAATGCCATAATTTTATGATTTCTGCCAGAGTATGCAGTCTTTTGAGCACAACTGTAACTGGGCTGAATATGAGTGTGGCTTTCCATACTTTGCGTCAGTTTGTTTCAGTGGGCTGGGCAAGCCCTTGCAGGCAAGCAAGTACTGGAGTCACTGGGAGCCTGTATTTTAGTTCTTGGAGTGGAGATTCTGTTTTGGTTTGGGGTCACAGTACGCTGCAAGACTGTCAGATTTTTTTCCATATTTAGTCTTCAAAGGAAGACACAATTTCTAGAGTTTATATCTGGTATCCCCACTTAAGAAGGTGCAGTCTGATTTCGCTCTTTACTTCAAAAAATTGTAGCCTCTCTGATAAAGGCTTAAAATGTGTCCTTCAAAACTGTTCAATTTTTCAGTCTTTAAATTTTGCAATAGTTTATTTAGGTCTATGGTCTGAGAAAATGACATTGTTATTTGTTTATCCCAGATCAGATCTTACATAGTTACATAGTTAGTCTGGCTGAAAAAAGACAAAGTCCATCCAGTTCAGATCTGTCGCACCTCTCTCTGACAATCTTAGCAAGTAAGGGGTACATACTGTACAGCTAATCAGTTCCATTTTCTGGCTTGTGGCTTTGAAAAAACACACTCTAATTTATATTTTAGGAGGACCAAACCTACATAGTCTACTCTTGACTGTGACATAATAAGCTGAAGTATTATTTTTCTACTCTAACTAAAATATGCTCTATATCTTCCTGAGACATACATAGTGGCCAAGAACAAATGTTTGCTAAATTGGCAGCAAATCTCTACAATATTTAGGGTTGCCACATTTGGTATATCATACTCTAATTGTTTTTTCTTGGAAAAAATTGACTAATCCCTCCCACTACATTAGTGCCTTGAACACCAAGCAAACTGCCTGCATGCTCTTTACTGTGTGAAAATGTGTGCTTTTGTCATTGAAACATGGCATTGATTTTTTTTTTCTTGTTCGACGTAACATCAGACTCTGCAATGTGGGTTTGTGGCTTGTACACAATACAGTGTGTTATTAGATAGAAGATCACAACAAGCTATGCTCTGTGACTTGTTTTGCCCCTCTGTCAATGTATAGGATGTTGATCATTTTAGCTTTTTTTTATGTATATACTGTACCTTACAATAGTTTATAGTTTCTTGATGTATTACTTCAGATGCTTGCAACACTCATTTAAGACTGTTACATTAGAAAACTGTTGTTTTGGCAAAAAACTATCTAATATTAATTTCCTATGGAGTAGAGATCAATCATATTGGGTTGCTGCTTCTGTATGTAAGGCATTAGGTAAAAATAACATTAAATGACTAGACATGCAATTTATGTGATTCCAGAATATACTGTAGTGTTGCTGACACTGTCTACTTGTCTACCATTGAACGATAATTTTAAAAAATGTTTTTTTCTTTGATAGGTGTCCTCCAGATCAGTGCTTGGTCCCCCAAAGCCCTTTTCTTCCACTATTCTGGAGGATCCTCACTACAGTATAATTGCCAGCCTAACAGGCTGGGGAGGCATCATTGACATTGAAACAGTACAGGGAAGCGACAGTGCTGCACTACTTGACTCTACAGTCATCTGATCTGGATTCAGTCAGACAGTGCCACAGCAGTGGCAAACATCAACCATAAGGAAGGAACCGGATTTCCTGCTCTCTTAGGCAGAACTTTATGTTCCAGCTTTGTCTCCATCCACATCCATACATGGACAATTTGCAAGCAGATTACTTCAGCCAACAGCACTTAAACTCAGAAGAATGGTCTCTTCACCCAGACGTATTCCAGAACATGTGTCTTAAGTGGGGATACCAGATATGGACCTCCTAGCCTCCAAGGTCAATGAAAAACTGGACAGGTATGCCTCTAGGTACAGAAGCAGTGGATGTTTTGATGTTTCTGTTGGATCATTACAACTCGATCTGTTTTTCTGCATCTGCAACTTCCTTGTCTGCTCTACAGGATTTAGATGGAGGACATTCTAGTGATTCTCATTGCAACAAACTGGACCTCTTAGGACCCCTGGATGATATCCTGTGACGATTTTCTGTCTCAAGGTCCAATTTACCATGCTGCTTCACAGTTCCTGGCATGGCTGTCGAAGCCCAAGTTCTATTAGAAATGGGTCTTAATTGATTCAGTCACTTCTTCAATCCTAAAAGCTAGAAATCCTCATCAGCCAAGATCTACCATACCACAAGGGAAAGCATACTTTGCCTGGTCAGAAAATTGCATCCTAGAAAATACTCCTTGGGATTTATACTGCCCTCTCTTCAACCGACTCTGGGCCAGCATTTGGACTTGAGTACCATCAAGAGACAAATATCAGCTATTATGATCTTATTCCAAAAAAATGCTTGCTTCTCATTTCCTAGTAAAAGCCTTTGTTCAGAGTGTTAATCACAGGGTTCCATCTTTTCAACCTCCAGTGACTCTTTGGGAACTTATCCTCGGTCTTTCAGCTTTTTAAAGACTGTCTACTGAACCCATCAGATATCTCCCTTTATCTATTCTAACTCATAAGGTAGGTGAGTGTCTGAGTTGGCAGACATTTCTTATACAGCGAGGAACAGAAGTATTTGAACACCCTGCGATTTTGCAAGTTCTCCCACTTAAAAATCATGGAGGGGACTGAAATTCACATTGTAGGTGCATTCCCACTCTGAGAGACAGAATTAAAAAAAAAATTCAGGAAATCACATTGTATGATTTTTAAAGAATGTATTTGTCTTGAACTGCTGAACATAAGTATTTGAACACCTGAAAAAATCAGTGTTAATATTTGGTACAGAAGCCTTTCTTTGCAATTACAGAGATCAAACATTTCCTGTAGTTCTTGACCAGGTTTTTCACACACTGCAACAGGGATTTTGGCCCACTTCTCCACACAGATCTCCTCTAGATCTGTCAGGTTTCGGGGCTGTTGCTGAGCAACACGGAGTTTCAGCTCAGCTCCCTCCAGAGTCTCAGCTCCCTCCAAAGATGTTCTATTGGATTTAGGTCTGGAAACTGGCTAGGCCACTCCAGAACCTTGTTATGCTTCTTACGGAGCCACTCCTTGGTTATCCTGGCTGTGTGCTTCGGGTCGTTTTCATGTTGGAAGACCCAGCCACGACCCATCTTCAATGCTCTGACTGAGGGAAGGAGGTTGTTGCTCAAAATCTCACAATAAATGGCCCCATTCTTCCTCTCCTTAATACAGTGCAGTCGTCCTGTCTCCTTCGCAGAAAAGCACCCCCAAAGCA